CTAAATAGTAGGATCCTTATTATAAGGACCCCAAAATAAGGTACCCTAATCTTCGGAAACCCTAAACCCTAAACCCTAAACCCCTAAACCCCTAAACCCTAAACCCTAAACCCCTAAACCCTAAACCCTATCCCCCTAAAACCCTAAACCCTAAAACCCTAAACCCTAAACCCTAAACCCTAAACCCTAAACTCAACCAGGAGCTTCGGCTTCGGCTCAGGGCCAAGGGAAGCGAAACAATCCGTGGGCATCTTGGAGGGTTTACGGGCACAGAAAAGAGGTTTAGGGAGACTAGGGTTTAGGGTTTAGGGTTTAGGGTTTAGGGTTTAGGGTTTAGGGGTTTAGGGTTTAGGGTTTAGGGTTTAGGGTTTAGGGTTTACCCTTTATAACTAGAATAAGGAGCCCCAAAGTAGATTGGGTATTAGGTCCCTATAGCAACTAAAGTAGGGGATCATACTGGGTTCCTTGACTAGTCCAAGGATACTGGGCACTCTCAGTAGCAAACCGTCTTTCCAAGGAGACGCGGATGTCCCGATATCCCCATTGAAATACTCCTTATAAATGATTAGAATAGGGTTTTGGGGTGTATTATACTATACTCATAATAGGGAGCCCCGAAGATGATATATGTAATTATTAAGGTCCCTATATTACATATGCCCCCCATGTCTTCTAATGCACCTCCCACTCGTTGATGGCCATCTTCGCACCCTCGGCAGTCAAAGTCCGGATGATGTAATCGTCGTCCTTGAACCTGGGGCTCGCAGGCTTTTCAGGTGTCGGCTTTGGGGTTTAGGGCTTCTAGAAGTTTAAGTTTGTATAAGCCGAATTTTATGGAGTGTATAGGGGCTTCCATCGGGGCTTTGGTGTTTTTCGGGTTTCGGGCTTCTTTCAACATACTAGAGATGCGTATAGCTAGTTATATCCACAAGGCTTCCAAGCTTTTCGGAGCTGTAATGTAGGGGCCCCAACAATTAGAATAGGGTTTTTGTGTATATTATACTATCGACATAATAAGGAACCCCCAAAATATACCAGGTCACGCTCTGTGAGGTTTCCTGCAGTCATTGACAATGCAGAACAGGCCACCGCTGCTATTGAGGGCAGCACGGGCTCTTGGGCTTCGAGCTTCGGAGTCTTTGGGTTTAGGGCTTAAGAGGTTTAGGGTTTTAAGGGTTTGTACGGTTGAAGGATTTTTAGAGTTTTAGGGTTGGGGGTTTACGGGTGTTAGGTTTAAGGGCTTAGGATTGAAGGTACGGTCAGGCTTACAGAGCTCAAACAGTCTAGACTTTGACCTCTCACCCATCCGGCATGTTCGGTGGGAGAGAGGGATGGTGTTCCTGCCTACCCCAACCAACCGCGAACACCAGCACCACGGTGTGAGCACGTTGGCCCTTCCAGCTATGCTTTAACTGGGATCTAGGAGTCCAGAATTTAATTTTATAGGTGCCTTTATAATTAGAATAGGGTTTGGGGCTGGGGGTACATTATAGAATACTTGCAATAAGGAACGCACCAAAATAGTATAGGTAATCATGAAGGCCCCTACATTACCATCTTGGATGACGGGTTCTGCGACAAATCGGGGGCCTGCTGAAGCATCCAATTACACACGTCGCGTCACAATACTTTCCTGTAGGGCTTTTAGGCCTTAGGTGTGATTTGATATAGGCTTCGAAACCCTAAACCCTAAACCCAGCCTGTCTACCGAGTCCCATCCTCCTTTCATCAGGAAAAAGAGGAGCGGAGAAGCTCCCAAAAACAAGCAGTGGTACCATGACATCTACCAACCTATCACGAAGACCGCCCCACCTTAACTGGAAACGCAAGTCCCTTAAAGAAATCTTGAAGAAACCCTCAATTGGGTCCTCAAAGAACCCCTCAGTACAACTTAACTTAACCAACCCTAAACCCTAAGCCCTAAGACAGGTGACACGTCCAAGATCGACTGCTTCCCGCAGAAGGGACCGAAGGAGAAGCACTTGCGACCGTTGAAGACCACGGAGCCATTCACCTCAGAGATTCCTAAACTATTCGTATAAGGGAGAAAATGAGGAATGGTGTAACTCTTATGTCCAAAATAGTGAACCATGGATAGTGTAACTATTCTGTAGAAAACCGTGAACAATGGATCATGTAACTGCGACTATGTAGAAAACAGTGAACAATGGATAGTGTAAATGTTCTGTAGAAAATAGTGAATAATGGATATAGTGTAGCTCTCATGTAGAAAATACTGAATAATGGATCGTGTAGCTGCGCGATCGAGCTTGTTAGGCTTAGGAGCCCCTTCCGGACCCCTTGTCCGGTTCAGGATTTAGCTTTACTCAGGGGTTTCTGGGTTCTTGTTCAGGGATTCAATGTAACATACCATAATGAAGAAACCAGAGTATTTAGTATAGATCCTTATTGTGGTAACTTAAATTAAATCCCTTAACAAGAACCCAGTTTTCCAAAGTTTCGGCACTCAGACATGAGGTTTCGAATTTCACTAGGATCCTGGCTGCAGCGTGCGACCAAGGAAATGGAATTTGCAGCCAGTGCTCGGAAGGAGCGACTTCCGAAACGGACACCCTAAACCCTATCCCCTAAACCCTAAGAAGCTGCGAACGATTCTTAGGATTTAGGGGTAAGGGTGACTTCGGCAGATACAACTGTCACATTGAGCAACGGAGAAGCCCCTATCTGGATGTTGACCTGCTTCCTGCATTCCCTTACCCAGAAAGGCCAAGATCCTAATTTTGGTAGGCTTACATACTATGAGTTCTCGATCGCCAAGGCAAGCCCGAGGCATGCTTTCTGATGCGGCGAAATTGACGACTGGGATCGACAATCGAAACTTCCCGGAGTCCAACGCATCCCAACTACCTCCGACGTAGCATCTGTTTCTGAATATCTGGTTTAGGGTTTAGGGTCTAGGGATGGGGTTTAAGGTTTAGCACAAAATAGAATAAAAGGATCTGATAATCCAGCATCCAGGTAGACATGTCGAGGAGCATTCTCTGGGCGGCCCATGAAGCCTCGACGGAGTTCACTGGTTCTTCAAGGATCATGAGCTATAGCGATAGTATCATATGCCCCCAAACCCTATTCTAAATATTAAGGTCCCTATATTACTCTGTAGAGGGTGTGGGGGAGATTTTTACAGCACCTAACATTGCAGTCCTTCGTGTGGACATCGCCTGGTTCGGTCCTATGAAGGCGAAAAAATGGTGCTTTCATACATCGACATATACCTCCACCTCATGCACGACGAGCCAGATCGCCGACGTTGCGCTGAACATCAAAAGCAACTATGAGAGAAGGATGTACATCCCACCGGAGCCTAGGTTACTTGCACTCGATGTGCTGCTAGCCAGCATGAAGATGAACCACCATGAGCGCTCCAACTGGTCTTATCCTTGCTGGACTCGCGAGCTGCACCGCGAAGATTGGTGGCGCGCGAGCCCTTACTGTATGCTTGATCTCTGAAGACTAACGATAATAGCAACAACAATAAACACAATAGCAACAGCATCAAGAGCAGCCATAATAATGACAATAGCGACGTTTGTAGTGAAACTCACCTAGTAGAATGCCGAACATGGTGACCATGGAAATGCAAGGACCAATACGTAATATAGGGGCGAACAAAACAACAAGATGTTCAGTGTTAAGAAGGCGACCCCAAAAGAAGAAGGGTAAAGGGTAATGTAGGGGCCTTAATACATTCGAAGAATGGGGCTTGAGGCCCGTTATACTTAATTATAATCGAGAGCCCCCCAAACTAGTATAGGCAATTATTCAGTACTTAAGGCCCATATGTTACTATTGATTTATTCAGGCCCCTATGTTACTATTAATTTATGAACGCCCGTATGTTACTGTTAATGCATTAAGGCCCCTATAGTAGCAGCTTCGGTCTGCTGTGCTTTGGCGGCCAGGAAACTCCACTGTCCTTGGTACTGCAGCCAAGGTCGACGATCGCCCTCGCCACGCTTGTGCGCCTGGAAGAAAATGCGTGGATAAGATAGTGTAGGGGCCTGAATAATTACCGATACTACTTTGGGGGTTCGTTCTAATTATTAAAAGGCCCTTAATTATACTATAAGACTCAGGCTTAGGGAGGCTGCATGGTACATTTGGGCCCCCCCGCCCCCGCTTGCGAACGCACGGCTCACCTAGATAAGGGCGGTCACAGCTTCAAGACAAAGATGCTGTAAACATATACTTCCATATACATACATACATATGTACGTCCACTGAACAATTTTCTTCAAATGTGTATGCGTATATCTATACGTATATGTATCCACGCACTTGTGTCTATTTGCGCGGTCATTTTTGTTAGAGGACGCTTTTGCAAAAGAACGGATACTCGAGCCTTAGTCACACTGGTTGCAGCACCATCAGTCAAAGTAGCATCAACTCTAATAGCCAGATGGCTCCTATTTGCCGGGGCAGCAGCCTCACTAAATGCAATAATTCATGATAACCACACAGTAGCGCTATTTTATTAGCCGAATCTTACCAAAACAATGAAAGTGAGACTCCCGACGTCCATCTGCATGTCCTACATACGAGTCAAGCTTGCCCAGGCTCTTGCTCAGCTACCCAGCCCCAAAATCCAATAAAAGTCAGGTCTGTAATGCAAAGACGAGCAATAATCTTGGTTGAAAAGACAGTTATTGTAGTCTACCATGCTACGTTATATCACTTATGTTACATGAACGTAGTTGCGGTATGCATAAGGGCCCCGACGGGGATGGAAGGGTCTCAGTAGACCATCAAACACTTCAAGCAGGCGCTGCTGGAGGCGGCGAATTAAGAAGAGCTTCCTCAAGGTGTGGGGCGTAATTAGGTTGCGGTTTAGCGCTTAGGTTTGGGGGTTTAGGGATTCAATGCTGAAAGAGGGGCCGGCGACTATTCGACTTTCACGGAGTTTCGTTTGCATTATGCGGTCTCAGCCGGAGGTACCGCCATGCTTTGGTGAACAGGTACGTTACGGTACGTCTAGATTTCTGACCATAGGGGAAGTGCGACGTAGACAAGAGAACTGTGGTCGTTGCCTTTCGCACAACTTGGTTGACTGCAGCACCTTGTCAAGGTCGGCGACGATCTCATCTCCGTCGATGCTAATGTTCATGATCCTCCTGGCAAGACCCTAAGTGTCCATGTACCCAAATAGTATATACGTTGGCCTTAAAGTAGTCCCTATATAGGTACTGTGGGGCCAAAGTATATACTGTTTGAGTTCATGATCCTCCTGGCAAAAGCTACCGGGCAGTATCCCTCGCAGGATAGCATCTGAGGAGTCTGCTACTTCTTCACTTCTTCTAAGCGACGTGTGGAAAAGACGCCCGCGGTGTGACTAAAACTACCCATAGGCCCTAAAGTAGTTCCTTTTTGGGGATTATATATAGAATCCTATAAGGTAATCCCAAAAAGGAACTACTATGGGGCCTATGGGTACTTATAACACCGCTAGGAAGTGGCGCTTGTACGATCGAAGATTGCGAGTAACTTCGGAGCCAGCCAAACTTTGTCCCATCTGCCCACGCGACCCATTTGCTACATGACTTCCGCAACACGATTCGCGGAGAGCCCAATCCCACTTGAAGCTATTCAGAAGTATCCTTCCATGATTTCAGGTTTAGTATAGTGGCCTTACTAATTAGAATAAGGCTTTTGGTGTACATTTTGCTAACATTAATCTCGGCCCGTACATTAATTCCTGGAGCTGCGCTTGATTCGATTTCGAAAGGAACCTCCCCGGGCGACGAACGTCTCCTCAGTTTGCAGGAAGGCATCCCAAGCCCACTTCACAAACGCCCCAAACCCCAAACCCTACAACCCCGTAGCCTGTGACCCATAACTCTGACTCTCTTCAGCTGAGGGCAGGGCTCCTAAACAGCTAACACCCCTAAACCCTATCAGCCTTGTTCAGTTGCGCTGAGTGCCGGGCTCATTGATCTCGTGGAACCGTTTAATGTACTTTGGATCGAAGATGTTGCCTCAGCGGTTCTCCCAGGGCTGAAAGCTAGGTTGGCCCTCTAAAGCCTTTGTCCCTAAGTAAGATCCTCTTAGGCGGAATAAGGGACTATGTCAAGTGTCCCAAAAGCCTACCTAAAAAGATACGGAGCCCCCCTTCATCAAGGAATGTACTTCCAGACTTCTAGAGACACATGAAAGGATTCCTCTTCTCTTCAGGGGGTATATTCCTTAATGAGGGAATAGACCGAAAATCGCGATAGGGATATTTTGTGTTGTGGTAGTATGTTTGAGGGTTGTTTCTGTTGAATATGGGAAGAGCCTTAGCGATTTCAAGAGGGAGGACTTGGGGTAGCTTGTACTGCAAGCATCTAGATGGGGGTTTCCGAAAATAGGGGACCCTAAAATAGTACCCTAAATAGTAGGCTCCTTATTATAAGGACCCCCAAAAAAGGTACCCCTTATTTTCGGAAACCCCCAGATAGAGACCCTGAATGCACAGGGACTGCACGGAAACACTCAAGACTCGAGCTGCTTCTAGTGTCCACATTTCACATTAACCCTGAACCCCTAAACCCTACACCCCTAAACCCTACACCCTACACCC